TGTGTGGGGGGGGGGAGCAGTTGCTCTTCCCACATCCACGCGAAAATCCCAAATTTCTTTAAGCTTCTCCTTCCCTTTATTCATTTTCCCGGGAATCTCACAGCTTCCCGGTGGTGCTCGGCATCCCCCGGAGCCCATCCCGCCAGCTCGTCCCACGCTGCCGTTACTTCATCGCGGGCAAACCCGCCTCTGAACTTTTTCCCTTTTCTAGTAAAAGTGGCGATTCCAGCTGGGGACTCTTGACTAACAGCCCTTTTTTAAAAAAATTTCATTTTTCCGCAGAAGTCGCTGGCTGAGATGCTTTCCCGAGTCCCAGAGATAAGATAAATAATTTACTGGACGGAGGTCTCTGATTACTCACTCTATTAGCATTCAGAGCAAAGAGCTCCAGCCACCGGGAGCTGAATTATTCCAGACGAAGCCCATCTGGGCTCCCGCGCCCCAGCGAGACCGAGGAGTTCCCAGCATCCCACACATACTTGTGGGATGAATTGCTTGAAATCGAATGGGGTTTACTGGAAATGCTGGTGAGCTCCCGACTCCTTTAGTATTTCTTAAAAAAAAAAAAAAAATAAACCACAACCAAAAATGCCAACCCCAAAGTTGGTTATGGAGCTGTGGCTCAGCCCTCGCGCCGGCCGGGAAGGACTTGCCGCCGCCGTTCCCTCTTTTAGATTTACCGAGAACGCGGTATGTCCTCTTTCAGGGGCTGAGACAACTAAAAACTGAAAAACCTACATTGGTTTTTAACCCAGAAGGTGACATTTTTATTTGGGGAAAAGTGCGGAGAATCTGACACAGCAGCCTTCATCCTTTTTTTCTTTTTCTTTTAATTATATTATTGTTATTATTTGGGGTGATGCAAGCTGAGGGGCGGGCAGAGCCTTTCTCCTGCCTTATTCCCACCGTCCGCCTGGGCATTTTTTGGGACAACTGGTTCTGCCAGCGGGTGCTCAGCCATGGGACGAGGTGACTCAGCATCTGGCCCCAAAATCATTCTCAAATTCGTTGCTGGGATGGTGGAGGGTACCAAAGGGGCTGCCCTGGAAACCCAGACTCTTTATTGCCAAACAAAGCTCCCCCCGGGGGAGCGGCAGAGCTTTCCTGGGGGCTGCCTTCCCCTGAGCTCCCGGGGAGGTGCAGCTTCTTCCTCGCTCTGCCCACACCTGCTAATTAGCGTCGCAGGGAGCAGCGTGTCTTGCAACCGGGATGAGCTGGGGCCAAGTCACCTTTGTGCGTAAACCTGCTCCACTCCTAATTTCCCCGGGGGGACTGAGTCAGCGGCCGCCTCTTCCTACTGGCACGCAGGGGTTGTTTCCCCTCTGGGTTGGGGAATCCTCTCCCAGTCTTGGAGGTGATGGGGAGACATTTCTCCATGCCTCGGCCTTGCCGAGCAGGGATGTGTCCCTCTTTCCCAGCTGTATCCACCTCTTTCCAGTATAACCCACCCAGACACATCCCCATTCCTCAAATGACCCTAAACCAGTGTTGGGAGCCACCTTTTCCCCCCAGGTCCATCCCATGCACTCACCTTTCCCCCTGCCAGCCCTGCTGAGGCCACTGGGATGTGTCACACATTCAAGCTAACATGAAACAAACCCCATCCTGCCTGCCGCTCGCTTTGCCCTCGTCCAGAGGAATCACCTTTTTTCCCAACCCTCTTCCTCCGGGATGAAATCCTCCAAGGAAGGTGGGTGCAGGAGAGCCACACACGTCTTTCAGCACACGTTGTGCTTGCACAGACACAGGGATGTCCAACCAGGACTGCGGGTCCTGCCCCGGCCAGGCAGCAGCATCCCTGACCCACGCTGCCTCTTTCCACCCTTGGGTCAAACCCGACGCTTGACGTGAGCCCCCGGGGAGCAGTTAGCAGCTCCGAGGGGATTGCATGGGGCTTGCTAGGAGGAAAAACCCAAGCAGGACCATTCCTGGGGAGAAGCAGGACCCCACCTGGGGAGAAGCAGCACCCCAGGGTGGCACATGGCGCTGGTGGCTGGTCTGCGGGAGAGGAGCTCCCAGCAGACATCAAAAGATCAGTTCTCAGCCCTGCAAACAATCCCGGCAGCTTTCGGGCTCTTCAGTGGCATTCCAGTCTAACCGGGGCTGCCTTGCATGATAATCAGGCTTAATTACTGCTTTATCGCTTGATTGCTGTGCTGGGCCCTTGGAGCTGCAGCGTTGCTTTTGCAGTTTACTTTTTGTATTTCCTCCCCCTCGCCTTCCCCGCCAGCACAATTAGCAAAGAGGTGAAAATGGGGAGGGCCAGGGCGATACCCAGAGGGGGAGAGAAGGGCGGATTTTCTGCCCGGGAGACCCCGGGGTGGAGGTGGAGCAGATTTGCAGCCCGTGGAGGGTTAAAATTGAGGTTTCCCACCGGTCCCCTGCAGACAAAACAGCAAGGTCAATGCCAAGCCAGGAGCACAACCCCATATCAGCCCCAGGAGCATCCCCCTCCCGAGGGGACAGCATCCCTGGAGGAGGGAGGGGAGGACTGCGGGGTGATTAGAGCCGTGACACAGAAGGGCTGTGGTTTTCCTAACATGAGCTTTGAGTCATTGCGTGACCTTGGCTGCGTCTGCCCGTGGCTCCCTCCGCTCGGGCTCGCTTGCCCGCAGAACCGGCTGGCCCAGGGCGTGGGGCAAAGTGTTGGCAAAGGACCTGCCGGTCCTCGGGGAAAGCATGAAACCTTCCTCAGTCGGGCCAGTGAAGATGCTCCCACCTACGCGTGGTGAGCAATCCCGGGCCACACCGGTGAGGAAGCGGGCCCTGCCCTCGGCCAGGCAATGGGTGTTGGGGTTGGGACACCCCAAATGAGCCATCACCTGCTTGAAGTCACCTCTGCAGCGGTGAAAAGGTGTCCTGGTGTCTCACCGGTGACTTTGGAAAAGCAATAAAATGTGTGTGTATTCCCCAGCACCATCACTGTGTGGGTGACGGGCTGATCCGGATGCGGCCGATCCCGGGCTGCATGGAGGCTCCGTGGGGGGGACTGCAGAGGTGCTGGGCTCCCCCCAGATGTGGGTCGAGATCCTGGATGCCGGGAGCCAGCGCAGCCACAGGGTGCTGACTGGGTGCTGCTTCCCATCCTCTCCCCATCCTCGGGGTCCCTGGGGACACCCCCAGACCCAGCTGAGACCCCAACGCAGCGGTGACAGCTTGGGAGCGGCATGTCCCGCCCTGGGGCTGGAGTCACCCAAGGGGAGGGAGGAGAAAGGTCCTCGCTGGTGTCCTGAGGCACCCCAAAACCCCGCTAAGCCATCACCCGGCCCTGGGCCTTTGGGTGCTGATCCCGGCTTAGCGAGGTGATGGGACCTGCGAGGGGGGACAGGAGATGCCCGGTGCACCCCGGGAGGAGAAGACATGGGGATTTCTTCTTATT